TCATTTCCTAAAACACGGTTAAATTTTAATATTTAAACGAAATTCAGCTAGACCCTTTAAATGCCCCTGAAATAATTTCCATTGAAAATGAGATGAAACAAAACGAAAACTTTTTCTCGATTATATTTATGTTTTCATATTTAAGATTCTCGGTCAAATTTATCTGAGAATGTAGATCAGACCTATAAGAGTCCAATCTTAAATAGATGAGATCAAATATAAGTTTATACGACTCTTTGATACTATTACTGTTGTTCAGTGGTATAACTTTCCATTATTAAAAGTACATACATATGATCCAAAAGTTACATTTAAATTAATTTATATCTTATATATAATTGATACTATTGTAAATATATATTTGACACCATTAAAACTATTAGTAATTCTATAGGTACATTAAATACTGAAATGAATGACGAACATTTCACGCACAAAAATCTTTGTCAATGATTTTAACATTCGTATTTACAGAACAATCGGCAATGGATTTACATAACAATTTCAATGTATTTTTATCCCATAGAATAACAATCCATTTGCAGTCGTGACTTTTAGTCATAAAATAAACAACAAATTTGCAATCACATAATTCCCGGTCTGACAAAAGCTGCGTGAAATAGATTTGTGTAGGCTTCAAAACAATAGCGCATTTCGCTGTAGTTTATATGTATAATAAAATATTGCTCGTAACAGTTATAAACTAACATGAATGATAAAGTCATAAAAACATTATAATTTTCATAACATTAATTTAATGCAAATATTTGAATGATTCTCATATTTTTAGAAGTTTACTGCGCGTTTTATTATTGTAAAAATTACATACTCTCAAAATTTCGGTTATGTTTCAGCAATCGTGATCACGGTTATGTATTAGTATACTATGTATATATTTTATTTAAATGAATACTCGCGAAAGACTTAGATCTCATTATTAAAAATATTTTTACAAGTAATATACGGGGTTTAAAAAAATATACCTATAAAAATTATATCAATGTTTTCATATGATTTATATGTATAAATGTTTTGATTATAAAATTCAATTTAACTTAAAATTAGGACAAAATTACTTTCATTATGTAGGCATACATTTTGTATATTTAAAATATTTAATTTACTGACTTTTTAATAAAAGATTGCAGTGAGATTCACTCTGTACTTTAATAATTATCAACAAAACATTTTCATTCCTTTGAAGGGCTATAGAATATGTTTTAAATGATTCCGTTTACTTTTAGAACATTTAACTTTATCTATATGTACTTATAATAAATCTGTAGAACGATCAATTCTGTACATAAAATATATTTAAAAAATAACTATCAGGGGGTGGTTAGGGATCGCTACTGATGCCAAAAATACAATCAGTAAAATTTTTGTCTGTCTGTCTGTCTATATATTCCTTATGGAAACAAAAACTACTGGACGGATTTTATTTAATTTTTATAGTATAGTTTTCATTGCGCTACGATAAATAGGAGCAGAGCAGTGAAGGGAAATATTGGGAAAACGGGAGAAGTTACTCCATTTTTTAAACTTCCGTCGCGTGTGCAGGCTTATCGGTTAAAGCTACATAAAAATCATGTAGGACCGAAATATTCTCCTTAAAATTATATAAAAAGTATTCCTCGACGGCATATGTCTATCTTTTATTGTTAACTCACAATAAAACGCGAAACTCCCGATAGCTTAGCAATTCGGAGATTTCTGATTGTATTTGTCTTCTCTAACGGTTACAACACTATAACTCATACCTAATTTAAAAAAGTTAACATTATGACCTATTTAATAAAAAAAAGAATCATGTAAATCGGTGTAGTAAAACACCAAAGTTATCTTCTTCTATACTTATAATAAGTCTGTAGTCACTATTGCACGCGGACGAAGTCGCGGGCAAAAGCTAGTATTCAATATTTAATGATTTGTCAGCTACAATTGCAGTATTGAATATGATTAATGTAGTTCAGACTTTAAAGTTGAAAGTATTTACTAATTTTTATTCAGTGCTGAGGGATATATAAAGCCCCATTTTTGTAAATAATATTAAATAAAAAAAAATTAAAACGGTATATAACAAGTGCACATAAAAATATTACTTTGGACTTCAGTTCATTGGTTTTGATATTACGAAAATAATGCGATAAGATTAAAAAGAAATACAATTAAGATCTCGATATAAACAATAGTTATTAAAACCCCACTGCTATTCAAAGTTCATTAGATCAAGACATACGTATATTGAAATATGTATAACTATACGCAATATCTTTGTGAATGAATATATAAATTGCAAATCTAAGGTTAAATAATAAAAAAATAGGTTTGGGTACTGTTTTAAGTACATTGCAATTTTTTTTTGAAGTTGAACTAAAATCAACATTGAATATTTAATTTAACCTTCATATTTTTTTAATTTTTAAAATAAGCGATATAAAAACTACCTGTCTGAATAAATGCTTTTCCGAGTGTTGCTGTAGATAGGTGCGTCTAGTGGGAACCCCCATAATTTAACTCAGTTCTGTCGAGTTTGCAGTCGGGAAAGTAACATAGATCGGTAAAAATCATTTAGTTTTTAAAATGGTAAAATATCAAAACCTAAAAGTTCGTAAGGTAGCGAAATTTTGATAATCTTCGACAGCAGCAATCGTTTGTAAGCATTTAAAACACTTTTAATTGTCTCATTTTCATACTAATTTTAGTAATACGAAAAAATATGAGAATATATGGTTGTGTATAGGTGTTTTAGAGCGAATAAATTGAATGGATTTTGAAGATGTCACACAAGCATCAGAATAATATATAAGGTATGATTTATCTAACGCATTGTTGGGTTAAAGAGATTGAGAATAAGGGACAAGTTTTTATAGTCAGTCTTAACATTGATAAGGTCTATCGGGTTTGGCACAAAACTCTATTATAGAAGTAAATAAATACTACATAGTTAGCAATGAGTATTTAGATAAACGAAACGAACTGCAGGTTTCATGTCATACATTTTACCTCTATAGACTTCTTTTAATATTATTAACTAGCTTTTGCCGCGACTTCGTCTGCGTGGAATAGTGACTTTCGGCAGATTTTAGGTTCTTCCCACATAGTTCCCGTTCTTGCGGGGTTTTCGGGATGGTCGAGTTCCCGTAGGATAAAATTCAGGATTATTAATTTTCAGGATAAAACCTATGTTTTTTTTTATTCACAATGAAGTACTCTTAACCAACAACATATTTATTTGTTTATTTGAATAAAGATTAATATTATTATGTTGATACAACTTAAATTATTTCGACCAAATTGGGTACCATAAAAACGGTTTTTGTGAGTTAATCTTAAAAGATAGACATATACTGTCGCGTACTGTTTTTTAGATCATTTGAAGAGCTATTATTCTTTAATACATATTTTTTGTGTATCTTGAACCGTTTTCACGGCGCACGCAACGGAAGGCTTCAAAGATGAAATAATTTCTCCCGTTTTTTACACATTTACCACTATATCTTTGCTCCTATTGGTCGTAGCGTGATGTTATATAGCCTTTCTCGATAACTGGACTATCCAGCAAAAAAAGAATTATTCAATTCGAATCAGTAGTTTCGGAGATTAGCGCTTTCAAACAAACAAACAAACTCTTCAGCTTTATATTATTAAGTATAGATTACTAACACTAAGACATAAAAAAGACAATGAGTAAATACTATATAAAAAACTTTACTGTAGAAAACCTGAAAAAATATATATTTTTCAATGCTTAACTTATTAATCATTTTCAAAAATACAGGAACTTTTTTTTATTGATTAATGTGAAAATCATAATTAAATAATGTCAGGAAGTACTAAAAACAATCTATTTCTAATTAGCACGATTTTGATTTACATTAAGCAGGCAAATAATAATCACAAAAAATATATAAATTATAAAAGTAACTTTGATTGTTATACAATAAGTCCAAAAAATTTATTGATTTATTACTTCTGTGTTACCTTTTTTTATCTTATATATCAGAGTATCATTTTATTTCATATAACGTAGCACGTAAAGTATGGCGTTAGTGAAATATTTTGTCTATTGAACCAACATTTCAAAACAACACAGGATTTTGTTCGACAAACCCAAATATGTCAACAATGTTAACACTGTTGCATTAGTTATTAACTATCCTATATTACAAATGTTTACATTTGTGATTGATTATACCTGGGTATGATAGAGCATGTCAAATTATAATTTTACTAAATGAGACGAAACCTCTTAGTATTCAATGGATTCACCGTGCGGGTGTCGGGTCCATCGTTGCAGGGAGAGGAGCTTCAACAGTGCTTGGGACTTGCGACCTAGGTGTAGGTTTAAGGGGCCCCTATATAACGCACGTTAAACGCTCACCTGTCCAAACTCCTCTCTCTACCTAACCAAATTTGAAAAGAACCTACTAGGGCTGCTTTCGATGCACGTTCCAGTTATTCTTGAAAAAGGAACGATGAACTTTTGTTCCATCCGCATCAGGATTATTATTTATTATCCTGTTTTTCGTAAAAAAATTTTTAGACTTTACCTAATTTAATAGAAGTTGAAGAAAATATGCAACAACTGATTTCTGTCAAGAAATAAAAGATAAAATTTATATTTAATTATCACAAAGTAATGCTTAAATATATTTTTGTTAGTTCGTAATTATAATATAATTATTTTATATAATAGATCTATTAAAATCATGAATTAATGGATTTTCATGCAGAAATTGATAAAAATATACATAATTTGAAGTTAAAATGAAGTGGTTATTACCCTTACTTTGTATTTGTTGGTATGATCATTTTATTAGTAGATATTACGATAAGAATAACTCACCAGTAAACAGCAAACGATTTGACTACTTTGAACTTCGAAGACTCCATCGCGAGTACTGTTAGAGAATTAAAAACAATATAATATTTAACTTTTACTTCTTAAATGTAACTTTAGTGGAATATGGAAAGGAAAGAAACCTACTGTAATATTCATGAATATATTCGGATCTAAAGTATATTATAAGGATAAAGGAAAGCAGAGAGGAAAATTTGAATCAAGTTCACAGTCAGGAATTTTTGTGGGTTATGATAGTCAATCCAAAGCCTATAGAATACATGACCCTACAACAAGAAAAATTGTTATTACTCGTGATGTGAAGTTCTTGAATGAAGTATTTTTTAAACATGAATACAAAGAGACACTTGATGAAGAAGAAAGTATAGATAGTGAACAAATGAATATAGAATTGAATGACCCTGTTTCAGATAATAGAACGAAGAGTGAAGACCAAAAAATACTAAGAGTAAAGAGAAATAGAGTTAGAACTAGAAGGTCACTTGAAAGAGTAGACGAGTCAGATTTTGATAGAAATAGAAGACATGTTGATAGAAAAAGAATCGCAACTGTTTCATGGGAAGAATTAATAGAACCCCCTAAAAGAGGAAGAGGAAGGCCTCGCCTAATCCTTACTGGCATGGCGGGCAGACCACGAAAAATTTATAATTCATCTCAAGAAAATAGCGATAGTGAGAATGAATATGAAGATAGAGATGAACAATTAAGTGCAGGGATAGCAACGATAGAACCAATGACATGGAATGAAATAGAAAATAGTGATGACATAAAAGCATGGCAAATTACCCTTGAAGATGAGATCCTAGCACAACTAAAAAATAAAACATGGGAAATTGTACCACGACCGAAACAGAGAAAAGTTATTGGAAGTCGACTTGTTCTTAGTACTAAAAGTACAGGCAAGAAAGTACGTCTTGTCGCAAAAGGATGTTCTCAACGACCAGGGGAGGATTTTCACGAAACTTCGTCGCCTGTAGTAAGGACTTCATCAATAAGACTCATTGCTGCTTTGTCAGCTGAACTAGGACTAGAGATCCACCAGATGGACGTTGTAACAGCTTACCTAAATGGTTCACTTGAAGAAGAGGTTTACATGGAGGTGCCTGACCAACTTAGCGATGTATTGGAGAGAGTACTCGCTAATGAGAAAGTTGGATCACAGAAAAGAACAGTGACAGAGAAGAATATACTGAAGACAGCTAAAAATTGGAATGAAGCTTTGAATGAATGTGTTAATAGTGTATGTTTGTTGAAAAAGTCTCTGTATGGTTTGCGTCAGTCTGGATTGCAGTGGCATAAAGAACTAGTGAGAAAATTAATGGATTGTGGTTTTGAAGGGTTGCAGCAGGATCCGTGTGTATTTGTTGCAGAAAAGGGTGAGCGAATCATGTTAATTGGTATATATGTAGATGATATTATTTTAGCGACGGATGATATTAATTGGATGTGTGATATAAAGAAAAGTTTGTCATCAGCATTTGAAATGAAAGATATGGGTAAAATAAGTAATTGTTTAGGTATAGAATTTAGTCGTGATAATGAAAACAGAGTGTATTTAAATCAGAAATTGTATGTGAATAAACTATTAGAGCGGTTTGGTATGAGTGCATGCAAGTCTGCCATCACGCCTCTGGATGTTAATGTTAAATTAGTAAAAAGTAAGTGTGTAAAACATGAAATAATGGAACAATATCCGTATCAAAGTTTGATAGGTGCCTTAATGCACCTTGCTGTATCAACCAGGCCTGATATTGCTTTTGCAGTGAATTATTTAAGCCAATTCAATACTAGTTATGATATGGAACATTGGAAGGCTGCTAAACGTGTGTTAAGATATTTAAAAGGTACATCAGATTATGGATTGGTGTATGAGAGGACAGGCTTACCTTTGTTTGGAGTGGTTGATGCAGACTGGGGTGGTAATACAGTGGATCGTAGATCTTATTCTGGTTTTGCATTTATTTTAGCCGGTGCTCCCATTAGCTGGGAGGCACGTAAACAACGGACTATTGCTTTATCAAGCACGGAGGCCGAATATATGGCTCTTTCCGAAGCTACTAAGGAGGCCATGTACCTTCGTGATATTTTAGTTAATATTGGTATGGAGTGTGAAAGTGTTGTGTTATTCAATGATAATCAGGGTGCCATGAAATTAGCTGAAAGTAAGAACTACCATTCTCGAACAAAACATATTGATGTGAGGCACCACTTTATTCGGGATATGTACGAACAAGGTGTAATTGATCTTAAATATTTATGTACTAATCGAATGCCTGCTGATGTTTTAACGAAAGGTTTGAATGGGACAAAACATCATGAATGTATACGTAATTTAGGTATGGTCGATGAATGTATGTAAAGACTCAGATTAATATAAGACTCACGACTTCGAGGGGAGGTGTTGAGATAGTACGAAGTGCGTGAGCAGTGCCGCCCGGCATATTATAATATGTAAAAAACGATTTATTCAGTTCAGTTGTCAACACGCGTTCGCCTGAATATCATTGTAATATCTTTCTGGCTTAAATATAATTATATTCACGTAAATATCGCCTATTCATTCATAATCCAACAGGATATTCTATTGTTATAAGTATAAAAACCTCTAATTTATTAGCGAAAGCACCCAAATTATTTGAGTGAGATCAAGTACATTTCAATCCAGAACTGTAAAATATCGTACAATGCTCTCAAAAGTTTCGCACCTAAACGGTGTAGCTCTTTGTTACTCTACGATGAAAATTTTCATAAAAATACTGAGTTAATGTAAAAAGGAAAGGTATTTTTCATATCGCGTCTCAAAAGAAAGAATAAGAAATAATTGTCAATTATATTTGTTAATATTGGATTCTGAATGAACATCATAGGGCGTGAAATTTTTTGTTTCCGACAAGCCTTACTTAGATAGCAATAAAAATATTTAATAATATTTTTTTAGAAATTCAGAATTTATGTACATTTTTATTAAATGTCTTTTTAGTACCTATATAATAAATTTGTATTTTTAAATAAATTTGCGTTAAATTGGTGTTGTAATTGAAACACTGTTTGAATTGTAAAATTTAAACAATGTTTAATCTCATTTAATTTAACTTAATGATAGAAACTATATATATATATATATATATATATTATTCATATATATTAACCGGGAGACGAAATCATAAAAGTCTCAGGATCAATTTTAAATGGAAAAACATATTAAATCGTTGTACTAGTTGAGAATTTTAAAAAATATATACATAGAATTTTAGGGCTAAATTATATGTGTATTTAACTTCAGAACTACACATTAAAATGTCATACATTTGTGTTACAAACTTTAATATGTTATAACTTTTCATTGTTGCCGAACATCTTGTTTAAATTGTCAAAAAGAGTATCATTTCACTGGCTAATTCACATCCGCAAAAAGTCAATAAAAGATAATATAATTCATTCTGTTTAAGACTTAATGAGATCTGAGACTTTCGCGAGTATTCCCGTAAATGAAACTAATATTATTCGGATTACTACGCGTATTTTATTATTTTAAAAACTTTTTAAGACTTGTACCAAAGTTGTAACACTTAATTAGGTTCTGTCTTAATCTATAAATAGTTGAAGAAATTAATTTTTATCTCTAGTTTCTCAATTTTGCTTGTCCTTGGAGAGTACTTTAAAAGCAGGCATAAATAATTATATATATTTGAAATACCACAAAAGGCCCGCCTTTCATGTATGAGGCCGCGGGTTCGATCCTGGCCCTGGTAAGTACCAATGTGATTTTTACAAGTCATATGTATTTTCTAAGAGTATTAAGACATCACTGATTAATGCATTCCCAAAGAGGGTTGATGTCAGGCAGGCGGCCGGTCGTAAAAACATGTAAGGCAGACCCTGTCTAAAGTTGGAAAATTGCTAGGTAGAAAAAAAAATCACAAGACACTGGAACGTAAATGAATTTTCTATTAACTTTGGAAAGTTCTTAAACACTTAAAATAACTTTAAAACATATTGTTATTAATGTATTTTTATAGAGAATTTCCCTACAACTGTTCATATGTAACTCAAGATCAGTTATGTCGCGAGTCAGTCAATACCTCTCTGTTCCACTAAGTACAGTGTTATGTTTTCAATGATACACTGACTGCTATCACTACATCAAGTTATCATGGACTCTAGCGAAATGAATTTGATATTTACGATTACATTCCTTGTGAAGTCATATATATTATTTAATATGACTATTTTATCGCTACAAATGATTAAAAATTGTTTTTCTTTGCATTTGAAATCATAACAAGAATACCATGTATGGATTTTATATATCACAAAACTATAGTATTTAGAATATAACGGTACCACTTAATTAATGCACTCACAAAGGAAGTTACTGCAAAGCTGATTTTGCAAATGCTTATACTTACTTTTATAACCATCACTGCAAAAGAATATGTAACGTCTCTAACATTGCAAAACATTTGCATATAAAATATATAATTATTTCAATTCATTATGCGAATAAGTTTTATAAGTATAGTCAAAATGTGAATAAATATTTAATATCCTAATAATTTAATCGCTAGAGTTGTATAACTTAAAGAAATATTGTGAAAAGGAATATCCATAGTAATTATTACTAAAAACTTTAAGTTTATAAATTAGGAATTTTATTGTAAACAGTTATAGTGAATTTTAGTAAATATTTTTTAACATTAAATTTTATCGAAAAGAACATTCAATAATGTATTTAAGTAACTGCATATTCAATAGCTTATTTTATATTACTTGCTTCAATTTTCTTTGTTTTATTTATCAGATTAGCTAATGTTACAATTTATTAAACTAATTCTTATATTTTATTTGAGCTTTACTAATAAAATTTCAGTATATTTGACATAAATACCGTTTAACTTGTCAGGAACATATGTAAGTACATATTATTTACTTGTATAAATATCAAAATTACTTTGAGTATTCTTAATTATTGTATAAATAATTGTTGTTTATCATACTTATATACCATAACTGACAAATATCAAACATTTTTTTGTATTTTTCATAGCATTATAATTCAATCCCACCATAAACATTTCCATAATGTTTTCGTCTTTATAAGATGACACATGTGCCTTGACAAATTGATATTTTCGTACAATAATATAGAAAAAGGAGGAAAAGAGAAACAGAAAAATATAAATTGAAATGTTTATACATTTGAGAAAGGAATAGCTATTATTTTAACACAAAGATTTTTTATAACTTGTACGTAATAAAAGAGCCTCTTTGTTTTTGTTCCCGCTTTTAAACTCACTATACAGTTTTTAAAATTCTTGCTTATACAATAAATTACTAAGTAATTTAAGACATTTAAACAAATATATTTATTAAAAACAGTAAAAGCAACCTTAACCATACGTTTTGTGAAGTTTTCTATAATTTTACATAAATTTGGTACTGTAAAACTAATTCCTACTTTATATAAATTAAATATTCACAATTATATCTTTATAACTTGGTGTTATGAAATTATTATTTCATATTTTATTATGAACCTTAACATTTTTCTTAATAATTTCGTTCGTTCGTTTATTAATGTATTTATTATTCTTTATGTACACGACATCAGTTATAAACAATTTTGAAAGAAAAATTATTAGGGTCCAATTTCTGCCACGTCACTTAAAGTGATACAAATACTCGTAAAGGCAACTCATACGAAAAAATAAACGAATTATAAAAGGCAGTGATCGGTATCTAAAAATAAAAATTGCTTTATCGCACCGACGATATATGAGTCACAGTAGTGTCTATAGAAAATTATTATTACGGAATTTTGACAGACACTTTTACAGTAAAAGTAGTGTTCGAAACAGACACTAGGTTTGGATGGACGATATTGAAAATTTTTCTATGTCGGGAATAAAGTTGGTTGGATATGAATAATAACTTCGAGAAATTTTGGAAGAAAAGGAATATTTTGTAGATGGTAGAGCCTAGTTGTAGGTGGTAGAGCCTAGTTGTGGTCAATTACTACAGCTCGAACATGGGCTGGCTCGACCGGGGAAGTACCACCCTCTCACAGAAGATCGACGTGAAGTAGTCTTTATGGCTGCGTTTCGTCCGATGAGTGAGAGAGCCGGTTGCCCTTTCCCTATTCCTACCCTTTCCTATCATTTCCTGATTCCCACCTTCCCTATCCCTAAAAAACAAGGTTGGCAACGCATCCGCAACAAAGATGTTGCGGATGTCCATGGGCGACGGTAACCACCTTCCATCAAGTGGGCCGTCTGCTCGTTTGCCAAGCTTCACATAAGAAAAAAAGGTCAAAGTGTGTTAGGGTTGAAGAGTATGAAATTTTAGATTAAGTTATTAAAGAAGTTAGACCTCATATTAATAAAATATATTTGAAAGGAACAGTCTAAATTGTGATATAGAATTAGTACTACAGTGGTTATGCTTGTATGAATATTTTACTGAAGATGCAAATATTGCCTACTGATTCAGATTTAATAAAAGTATGGGTGAAATTAAAAGCAACTCTTCTATTCTCCTTTTTGAAAAGGAATAACTTTGCTTCTTTAGTTCTGACGAAAAATGGAAAAAACATTCGGAATATCACCACTTTTCTAAAATAGTTGAACATTTTTTCAATTTTAAGTTTTTTAAATTGAGTAGAATCTCATTACAGCCCGTTTAAGAAAATTTTTATTACGTAGCTCTTAAGTCAAAAATGATAATTGGCTTTTCTAAAAACGGAGATTAAGGGTGTATAAGTTTTTCAGAAATCACTTTTAAAATATTTTTATTTTTTTTTGCATTTAATAATGCGATTACATTTTTATACGATTTGATCCCTTTACAGCAACCGTGATCCCGTGCAAATTATATGAAAGTGTACTGTTTCTTTGTAATATTTTAATCCATATTTTTCTTAATATTTTAATGTATCTCTCTGGATATTCGCCGAATGCGCCATGTCTCGAAATGTGACAGTATGGTTATGAAAATGGAATTTTATATTTTTGACATATTTCGCTTAATATAAATTGTATGATAATACGTTGTCTAGTCTTCTGATATATAAACATTTCTTTTACGTTTTATTCATACTGTCTTTCAAAAATTCACTAAATGTTAAAATTGTATCCTAATAATTCCTAATACATTTTATATTGCAAAATAACAGTTTCCTTCTGTTATTTTATATTATAATCACTCATACAATTATGAGTTATTAAATCAATAAAAATAATTCTTACGATATTTTAATACGACATGTATTTATCCCTACTAATATTATAAATGCGAAAGTAACTCTGTCTGTCTGTCTGTCTGTCTGCTACGCTTTCACGCCTAAACCACTGAACTGATTTTAATGAAATTCGGTACAGAGATAGAGTTGACCTTGAGAAAGAACATAGGATAGTTTTTATCCCAGACTTTTGAAAGGTTCTCTTGGAAACGCGATATAACCGAACTCCACGCGGCGAAGCTGCGGGCGGAAAGCTAGTATGTAATAAAGCATAATTCTAATGTCTCTGACTTCCAAAATTAAACGATTACTTTCTAAAGACAACTCATAATATTGGACCATAATATCGCATTATTTAAACTACAAAGTTGTGTTAAACTAAATACATTTAATTTTATAATAACCAACAGTAATGCAGCAAGTACAAAAAATTAATCAGAGTACATAGTGTAAAGTCAAGTAATTAAAAGAATACAGAGAGATGAATCCTCTTCACTTTGTATTTGACGTCTTGACAGTGTTATTTACTCGTGAAACCGAGCTCTGAAATTTAATTAATTCCGTATATGAACTGTATCCACAAGGATAATATTAAACGGACTTTATTAATATAGTTTTATAGAAATAAATTAAAAATAACAATTGGTTGTATACAGATGGATAGTACTTAATTATTTATCGAATGCTACAGTCGAATAAATACTGATTTAATTATTATTATTTATATTGCATATTGAAAATGAATAGCGCCATAATTCATACACATTTTAATGATATAAATCATTCCTGTTATATTTTATATTAAATAAGTGATAGGAAGATAACACATAATTAACACAAATATTGTGTTTTTTTACAATATACATAAAATCAAAATTTAATTTATTTCCCATAAAACGGATAAACAATCAATAAATTTACATTATATATTTTAAAACTATAATATATCTTTTTGAATTCATTCCCAATTTTTCTTGATGTATATAATCAAAACCAACTCTACTAATTCTCTATTATCCTCCAAATAATCCCAATGTCTGTGAATCAAACTAACAAGTCATTTATATTAAGGCCAGTAAAATTGCCTAACAATAAAGAATTTTCTAGAAGAAATTTAAGCTTTCTATTATTTCACAAACTTCTTAATTCAACACCGAATTTTAGTTCACTCAAAGGACATTTTGTAATTGTAATTGTAAAAGCCTGATCGCCATCTTCTATCCTTTCGTATTTTCCACTGTATGAACCTTTCAATATCTTAACTAGACAGTCTTTCTCGATTTCCAAAAGGACGGTTCTATAAGAAAAATCTTTTAAAAGGATTACAACAGTTCGATGAATAAACCGAAAATCAATATTTACAGTTCGACAGGACACAGATTGCTTTTCTGAATAGTTTGGATCGAAACGGTAAAACAAAATATTAAATATCTTTTATTTATCTTATTAATGAGCATAGTTACAATTCTAAGTTACGATAAAATTTATTATAAAATTATTCACAATTTCTAATTAAGAGATATAAAAACAACAGTTTTAAATTCAAACCACTCACGCTGCTTTCTTACAAGATTATGACAAATGTTTGTTAATGTAGAAATGTGACAAATATAGACGCAATTATAGTAATGGGACATTTTTGTTATGTATAATAACTATAAATCTATTATTTTATTTATAACTAAACAAATAATTATAGTGAATATAATTATTATTATCTGTTGCACATCACTAGCCATGAAGAGTTTACAGGTGTCAGAATAGCAATCTTTGAGCGGCTGGACTGAAGCATAATTCTATTTGAATATTAAATGTTGTTCATTTACAGATGAATGAGTACTTTAGTTTGGTAAATAGTTCTTCTCTCATTCTGATTTAAGCTTTCTAATTTTTTCGTTAAGGTATTATTCATCATTTTTTTCTGTTATTATACATACATATATAACCAAAGACCTATCAAGGTATACTAGGTAAATTATCACGTAGATATAAATAACTTTAAAAGAAAATAGGGTTATACTTTTATGTCATATGATAATAAACATATTGCGGACTCGTTACATATGAAAAATTAAATGAACATGGATAGAATATCGTATAACGAGTGACGCCGCTGACTCCGCGGAACGAACACCAAGCCGTGTGAACCAGAAGATTCCTGATACCACACAAGCTATGGAATGTCGTTGTTATCCTAACATTGGGTCAATCATGTAGTCTAAAATATAGGTTATAAGTTTTAATATGTAATTCTTGTTATATACATGTAAGTAAGTTTCGTAGTTTTCCTGGAACCTCCGGTTGCAACCCTACTTAATTAAAAGTTAAATACAATTTAAAACATAAATCTGTATGTGAAATCTACTATATTTGACAGAAATATTTTTACTAACAATTTAGACAAAACAAAAACTCAGAACACTTCATGATTTTGTTGCATTATTTCTCAGATGTCGAATTTCCTTTAATATGCTTGAGAAGTTACTCGTCTACGCGGTTAAGTCACAGACGTTTTGCTATTTGGAAGTTTTAAGAGACGTACATTATTGGATATATACAGGCCAGTTATTTGATAAACTGATTGAAAATTCCATGTCTCCACTACATGCCAACCCTACGTAAGTCCAAAATTAGGTTAAATGATTACTAATATAATATAATCACATCTAAGACTTTGATGAGTATACATTTAAATTTTAAATGAATACTCGCTATTTTTTTTAAACTAAATACTAAATACACCTGAAGTTTCGGTTACTTTTCAACAACCGTGATCACATCTCGTCTGTTCGTATCGAATGAATCAACAAATAACAAATATAATTTGTTTATTTTAAATGCAAGTTTGATTTTGTTCAACCATTACTTGTTTCCATTGATTGTGTCTGTGTGTGTTGGTCCAAGCCCTTTTTACCCTTGAATTACCTTAGTTGGTTTTATTTAATACAGAAATTTAAGAAAAGAAAATTTTTGACTACCGATTCAACTTATTGTAGAAATATGCGTCTTATTTATAGATAAAATTTTACAAAAGTCAATTTTATATTAAGAAAAATTAAGATTGGATATAATTTACATTGAAGAGCCAGATGCCTGAGCACAAGTTACATCTACCGGTACTTTCATTCAGTTCTTAATTGTTGGTTTGTGACGTGATATTTGATTTAACAACCGTTTTAGAAAGACCTCTGGATATAAATATAAATGTCACACGAATAACCAGCAACGAATACTCTGAACGAGCTTTGGTTCAGGAAAATAAATGTCCAGAGTAACAGGACCGTGTAAATCTCATAATCCGTGAGTTAACACAGTTCAGTATAGACTGGCGTGAATGAATAGATTAAAGACTTGAAGCTGTCAACATTGACAGTGTGTAACCATGGGTCTTGGTGTGATGGATATCAAAGTTATTATATAATACAATTATTAGTACGAATATTCTAAAATCGATTTAGATATACGCACAGTTTCAAGGGATTTAGGCTGTTAAGGTTTTTTTTTTGCAATAAAGGTATAAATTAACACTACGCAGAGAAAAAATTCAAGACAAAATCACTATCTTTACTGAGCGAATGGGTATCATATAGCAACGCTTGGAATTGGCATATAGCAACGCTTGGCATTTTCTAAAGAAAATTATTTATCCTCTCATCCCAGTTACATAAACCACGAGGTATTATTTTAATCATCACAGTCTAGTTAATGAAGTCACTGGATTATGCGCAATGTGTTACTGCTTGGAATTTCAACAGAGCATTTTGTTACTTAACGTCATTATTACATTTTTACGACACTCGCAACATTCCGGAATTAGTTTAGTTAAACTATTTTACTTATCTTACGTGACTCCCAGTTTTTTATGAAAGTTGATCTACTTGATTACATACTTTTCTAAAGAATTAAATTTGTACAAAAATTATATAATTTATTAGACATATAACAATAATTGTTAATGAATTTTCAATTTAGTTACGTCCTAATGATTTTAGTTCAACTTCCTATTCATAAAACATATCCCCGTCTTATGTTTTCATTCCTTTGAATATTTTATAAGCTACCTTTAAACAATCCTTCAACCAATTTTATTTATTTTTACAAATATAAATAACTAAATTTACAAATATAAAAAAATACCTTGTTACGTACGCGCTACGTATGAAGAAAAAAAAATGAACATAACCGAGGCGACGTCTTTGTATCGGTAAAATATCGTATAACAAGTAACGCTGCTGACTCTGCGGAATAAACACCAAGCCGTGTGAACCAGAAGATTCCTAATAACACATGCTATGGAATGGTATTGCTATCCTAACATCGGGCAATCATGTCGTCTTAGGTTATATGTATGTTATAAGTATTTTAATATACAAATAAGTATGTTCCGTAGTTTTGCTGGAACCTCCGGTTGCCACCATATATAATTACTATTGCTAACGAAGTCGCTGAAATAGTTTTTAAATTATGAGAGTTATTGGGCAACGATTTACAATATTATGCGACAAATGTAATAATTTTTCCGACAGTATAATTGATAATATATTACGTTCTGGTCATTATATTTGAATTATTTTATCTGATAAATCATTATGTGTTTTGCCATTGATCTATTCATATAGGATTTATTGTTTAAACTTATCTATCATAAATTTCTACGTAAAATAGTCTCAACAGTTGATTTTATACAACCCCAATCAATTTATTCCAGAATTGAAATTTTAATGTAGTTTTCAGTTTTAAGAATATCGTGTTTGTTAATAATCATAATTGGATGAGAGTCAATATGAAAAATGTAATTTCTTTTTTAGTGTCAGTACTTAATGTATTACGCAGTCAATACCACAACATTCAGTGGTATAAATATTATGAATCTTTGCTTTTTTCTAATGGTTGAAAACTGCATCTACATTTTCCATTTGAATAATTTTATTTCAATAACTAAGATCTTATTTGACTTCGTTGTAATACAAATATAGTGAGAACTTGAAAGGAAAATTAATTCTGTTAAAAGATTTTGATAACAGATTAAGAAAAACAATTTTTTTGAGTCACTGATATCATGAGTTATAAAATTTTATGACCTACAATCTACATAATTGCTTTGAATTTGTTTTTTAGTTTTTCGCTTATGACTTGCAATGAAAATATAAAATAATAAATTAATACTGACCTTAAAATGTTTCAAATATCGGCATCTATTCTCTAATAGGTTATTTATTATTTTTAACTCATATGCGCGAACAGTTTCTGAATTTCAGGACTATCAAATAATCAATATATTACTCACTCATTTACCAACCCTTTCATATATGTACATGTTGTACAATAAGTAAGAGTGGCAGCAACCAAAGTTCACAATTAGGTACCTTTGAATAGCTTAACTAGAGAGATATTTATCTTATAATTTATTATATAATAAATGTCTAATTCAAATGTTTAAAATCTTTAAATCGTACCGTAATATGATTTTATAAAGAAATACATATCTGATCCACAAGACTATAATTGCTTACGTCATTTGTGGAGTCACTGAGTAATTACTTAAAAAATGAATAAATGTATAAAAATTTATAATAAAAGCTTCACGTAAGTGACTAGACTTCTTCTACCTGGCAATTTCCCAGCTATAGCCAGGGTCTGCCTTGCATGTTGTGGATAGTTATGGCTAATTATTTTTACGACCGGCCGGCTGCCTTACATAAACCCTCTTTAGGAAAGCGTTGGTCAGTGATGTCTAAATACTCTTAGAAAGTACATATGACTCGGAAAAATCACATTGGTACTTGCCAGGATCGAACCCGCGCCCTCATGCGTAAGAGCCTTGCGCGGGCCTTTTTACCACTAGGTCACTACTGACTTCGTATAAATGACTAGACGTGTTAGGTGAAACTTGGAACGTTGAATGAAAGGCTCAATAGAAAGACTATTTTTGGAGACTACCTATATATTACTTACGATTAGAACAATATTGTTATTAAATTCTCAAATTATACACTAATTGTAAATAAATTTAAGTTATATACCTAACATCCTAAAATTTTCAATCTTTATTTACTAAGTTTAAGAACTCAAGATAATTCTTTTAAATAAACAAAACTATTACGTATGTAACAACTTTAATATTTTATTGTAATAAATTGTTTGTTAGACTTACTTACACTGATGTAGGCTTTGCATTCCACTCAGAGAATGTAAAGATCTCTTAATAGTCTTTAGTTATACATAATATAACTAAGAATTGTAAAAACTTACTATTCTAGAATGTATAAAGTCTTCATAAATATAATGGTTAGTTTTATTTAGCATCTATTTATTCCACATAATTCGTACTATAAACTTTTGCTTTTGCAATAAATGTACTATATTACATGATTTATTTATTCCTTCATTTTCCTTTACCATTCTTTATAGAAATGAAAGTGATATAAAATGAGGGAGCTCAGATTATCTATAAAGACGAATGATAACATACGAAGCCGCGATAATACCTTTCAATAACCATAACTCTTGAACCCTCCTCAATGTAAATATCATGTAAAGTACGACCGGATTAGATATATCAGTTGACAGACGGATTCAGAACATTGAACATGAATTGAAACTTGTTTCAAAAAAATTTTATCTTTATCAACATATTTCCTATACTTAACCTATATTATACTTAATAGAGAATTTTATTAATTCTGTAAAAAAAAAATATTTATTTTTCTGTTTTGCGTATATACAAGTATCGTAGTTTAATTAATAACATATGATGTTTTGATAGTGAAATAAACTAATTGTTTTAATTTTAAGTCAACACACATGTGACTTCAATTCACAAATGAAATTAACTGCTCTGAGAAATTTCACTTAATTGACCCGGAACCCGCACGATAAATCCATGGAATGACGCGAGGTTTCGTCTTTTATCAGCAATATTATCCTCATATTAATCAGTTATAAATCGGCCATGATAATATAAAATTTATACATAACGCCATAAAGTATATAGTTTGTATTACATACATAATACATAATTATGGATTATTGGATCATAAAGGAATTATTATATGAATAATTATTATCCTTCTTATTCTAATTATTATCCTTCCTTATGATTAAGATTTTATTTACTTAATTCTTCTACCCAGCAATTTGCCCAGGGCCTTTTAGCCAGGGCCTAACTTGCATGTTGTGAAAAGTTTTGGCTAATTGTTTTAACGACCGGCCGACTACCTGACATCAACTTTGGGAATGCATTAATCAGTGATGTCTAAATACTCTTAGAAAGTACATATGACTCGGAAAAATCACGTTGGTACTTGCCAGGGCCAGGATCGAACCCGCGCCCTGAGAGGCGGGCCTTTTAGCCACTAGGCCACCACTGACTTATGTATTTACTTACTATTAAATTAAATGAAATATGTGTATTCTATATAAAGTATCATGAAAGTTTATATCTATATGTATTTTACAATCTTCTTGTCCAAAAGCGTTCATTAATAACTTGCGACGTGAATATAACACAAGTTATATAGGTTAATTTATAAATTATACGGACATATTATTATCATTATCAGTTATCTTTAAGATGTACAAAAAGTTTTATATGAGAGAATGTAATGTCATTATAAGAATGTCGCTACTAAGGGGTTGTTTTTCATTTAAGTACAGGAGGTTCTTTTAATCAACGTTCAAATATTCTCGATTGATTTTTCTCATTATTTGTAAACTTATATTATAGTCGTAAAGTCACAAGATAACATTAAGGTCACAAGATGACAGTCAGTGGTGGCCTAGTGGTTAAGGGGCCCGCCTGTCGTTGCCGAGGGCGCGGATTCAAAACTGGCAAGTACCAATGTGATTTTTCGGAGTCATATGTACTTTCTGAGAGTATTTAGACATCACTGACATACGGTGAAGGAAGACAACCTGGACTTATAGTTTCACAATTATAAGTTTGAAATCACCAACCCGTCTTGAGCAAGCGTGGTGATTAATGCTCAAACCTTCTCCATGTGAGAAAAAGGCCGTGCTCAGCAGTGGGCTTCTGATAGGCTGATGACAAGGTCACAAGATAAACAGACGAGTGTACTTCATTTTTCTTATATAGATTTAAAACTTTTGATCTATGTAACACAGATCATTGTATATTCATATCAACAAAGGTAAATTATAAGAAACAGTCAATCTACTCTTTATAAAATTAGAAAAAACGATTTGTGGCCCATGAGGCGATCGAACCCGCGACCTTCGCGTTATTAGCACGACGCTCTAACCAACTGAGCTAATG